TTTAGTTCAGAGGGATTTACCAATGTTGATTTCTCAGTTTTTTTCCTTTGTTTGTTTTTTTCAGTTTGGGTTTCTCTGTGTAGCTTTGGAGTCTGTCCTGGCACTTGCTCTGTAGACCAGGCTGACCTCCAACTCAGAGAGATACGCCTGCCTCTTGCCTCTGCCTCCCGAGTGCTGGGATTAAAGGTGTGCACCACCGCCCAGATGGATGGTTTCTCAGGTTTTTTAAAGCACGGTAATAGAAGATACAATTCATAGCTGGTGAGATGCTATGTGGAGCATCCTTTGTAACTCCTTCAAGCGAATACATAATAGTTTTATTCTGGCTGGCCTGCCTCTGTCTCCTAAGTGCTGGGGTTAAAGGCATACTCCCAACCAGGAGTGGTGTTGAAGCCAGAAGACCGAGGTCAAAATCACTATAGATCACACAGCAGGAGAGCTCATTTTAAAAACTTTGTAGGCTGGGCATGGTGGCATGGGCCTTTAATCCCAGCACTTGGGAGTCCCAGGTGGAACTCTGAGACTTTTACCTGGTCTACACAGTGCATTTCAGGACAGCCAGAGCTAGGTAATAGACCCTTTCTAAAACCAAACCAAACCAAAAGACACCAACAAATAAATAATAAAAACAAACTGTGCCGGGTGTTGGTGGCACATGCCTTTAATCCCAGCACTCAGGAGGCAGAGGCAGGCGGATCTCTGTGAGTTCAAAGCCAGCCTTGTCTACAGAGCGAGCTCCAGGATAGGCTCCAAAGCAATACAGAGAAACCCTGTCTTGAAAAACAACAAAACAAAACAAAAACCTGTCTGTGTTGCTGATGGGGATGGACAAGTGAAACTTTGAGCTAAGAACTATTATTTGCATGGAGGGGCAGAGACGTTGAGGGAGAGCTGACATAGAAGGTTTTATGAATGGAGAAATAGAAGATAAGGACAAGTGCATGCCTGAAGAAAATGGGAATTTTTGGTTTGAGTTTCTCTTTTAAAATGATACAAATTTGCAAGTCCTCATTCTCAAAGTAGTCAGTGAGATCAGGAAGTCTGAGCAGCTGGTTGTCCTTCCTTTCCTGTCCTGAATGCCTGGGAGGCAAGGTGTGAGGGCTGGCTGTGATCAGTTTGCTATGTGGATGTGTTTGATGAGGAGTCAAGCAGGAGTACTTCTGAGCTCCAGGACTGGGACTCAGCCGCCCTCTGGAGAGAGCAGTGCCTTGGAAGTGGTACGGTTCTTAATCCTGGAGCAAGCACCATTTCAGATCGATTTGAAATGGATTAGAGACTTGCTTTTCTTTATCCAATGGGGAGGGCAAGTGGAAGTACGTGTGTGTGTGTGTGTGTGTGTGTGTGTGTGTGTGTGTGTGAGAGAGAGAGAGAGAGAGAGAGAGAGAGAGAGAGAGAGAGAGAGAGAGAGAGAGAGAGAGAGAGAGAGAGAGAGAGAGTATCGTTTGTAACAAGGAAGGCGTTTGGGGTTGGGGGGCATTTGGAAATCAGAGATCTGGAAATAGATTTCCTTAAGCCCTTCTTTGCCCTTACACATACTGTGACCCCCCAATCACCCCAGTTTGCAGAGGTAGGTGAAACGTTGAGGGAGGGGTGTGTGGAGGTAGCCCCCCCCCCCCATTTCAGGCATGCAGGGGAAGACGCCTCAACCCCTTCCCACTCGCCTCTTCTCCCTTCTCCTCTGTCTGTTTTGGGTTATTTTATTTTTAGAATCTGGAACACTTCTTTTTGGCAAAGTGATTTTGACCACATCCTTTTCAACTATAACACACTGAAACGAAGCGGCATTTCTTGGGAGATTTGACCTATGTGGCTCACAGGCCATTTTGGTTTATGACAGTCACATGCCCATTGTGGTACAAATGTGTACACTGAGGTATTTTAGAGCGAATATGGCAGCTTGCATTTAAAAAATTGTATGATATGCTGGGTGCGGTGGTACAGTCCCTGAGTCCCAATACTGCTGAGCCAGGGAGAGGCAAGATCTGTGCAAGCTCTGCGCTAGCCTGGTCTACATAACACGTACTTTGGAATTTAAATAGGCATCTAAAAACATATTTGTGTGCTTTATCAAAGTAACAGTGGAGTGCCTCAGTGATGGCTCTGAACTGCCTCTCATCCTCTCTATTCCTCTCTCCTTCCCTTCCTTCATTCCTCTCACCTCTCCTCTGCTGCTCTCCTACCTGCTCTTCTCTTCTAGCTTTTTGGGACAGGGTCTCTTGTAGCCTAGGTCCCTCCAACTGGATAGATACATTGCCCAGTATGGCTTTAAACTGCCGATCCCACCGTTTCAGTCAACGATGGCTTACCTAGTTTTCATTTCTGGACAGATTCAGTTGAGTTGGTGATTATTTAAAATACATCTAGCTGGGGCTACAGCTAGCGGGCTTGACTGAGACATACCAGCCCTGGGCTTGAATACTGTGTGTAGTTAGCATTACACACACATAAGAGTTATTTTGAAAGCTCATTTATTTAAAGAGCTAATGAAAAGGTCCTCCTGGCATTCAGGAGGTACAACGATTGCCCCACTCAGCTTGTAAAGTTTGCCCTCTGCTAACTTGAGCACCCTGGGCCCCTGTGGGAGTAATGGATTCAGGAAATGTAGAAAGAGAAAGTTGTTCTTTTGTTGTGTGAATGATGAGCTTTGCTGTCTCACAATTGCTGTCTATCATTAAGAGAAAGTCTACTGGGTAATAAGACAACTCTACATTTCAATTTTTTAATGAGCCAATTACTATTTAGGACAGAGTCTTATATGTAGTTTGACTGACTTGGAACTTAGTATGTAGACTATGCTGGCCTCTAAGTGATCCGCCTGTCTCTGCCTCTGCGTCTGGAGCGAGAGCCGTCCGTGTTCATTCCAGCCAGCTGGACTCTGGCAGTCTCTAACTTTCTCAGGTGCTTCTGAGATGACTGCCATGGAAACCCTGAGCTTCAGCACTTCATCAGAAAAGCCAAAAAGAGTTGTGTGCTCTCAACACCTTCCCAGTGGGTTTTGCTCACTTTCATTTCCCAATTAGACCTTGGGTCCCACGTAATGGCGATTTTAAAGCACTTGGCAACAACAGTGTTGAAATTGGCCCATCTTTATTCACACAGCCTCCACTGGGGTGACTTTTCCTGGACTTCTAGTTTGTTTTGTTCTATTACTACTAGTGAGGTTCACTTCCATTTTAGATTCTTTTTGGGGGGAGTAGGGGAGGATTTTTCAAGATAGGGTTTCTCTGCTATCCTGGAACTTATCCTGTAGAGCAGGCTGGCTTGGAACTCAGAGATTCACCTGCCTCTGCCTCCTGAGTGTTGGGATTAAAGATGTGGACTACCGCCGACTGGCAGATTATTCTAATTTACATTATAAAACACTCAGAATCCAGAGACTGTCAGGTTTGTTTCACCTTGATAGGAAAATTTTGTTGTATTTTTATTGACATTTAAATTGTTTCAACAATTATCACTTGAAGAGTGCCGTCATTTGTTTTGAGGTGTGGGGGTCAAACAATGAGCTATTTTTATAGGTTAGGAAAGCTCTGCTAGGCCACAAAGCCAAGCCAAAAAGGAATTTAGAAACATCTTTTTTCAGGGAGTCTCACTGTGTAACCCTGGCTGACCTGGAACACGGAGCACTGTCTGCCTGAGTGCTGGATTAAAAGTGTATGGCACTGTGTCCACCTTAGACTTTCCCTCCCTCACCTTGCTGAATCTTTACTTTTTTCTTTTAGAATAAACCCATACAAGGTAAGACAGGAGTATAACCCCGAATAGAAGGAAAAGCATTTACATGCTAGTTTTCAGCAGAACTTGCTTCTAATTTTAATACTAATGACATTTCTAGCCCATTCCTAATGGATATTTTGAATGAATAATGTTTTCTCTGATTTTACACCTGAGGCTATTTTGTTTACAGAATAAGTGACCAAAGTTGGCATACAAGTCCCTTATACAATAGTGTATTTCCTGATTTACACAGAGAAGGGTATGTCTGAGTGTTGGTCCAAGTGAGCTTTGAAATTTGATCCTCCTGCCTCAGCCTGCCAGGTAACTGAGCTTATTGGTGTGAACCACTGCACTTTGAGGAAGTTATTTTCATAACATCTTTTTTCTCAAGATTCCAAGAGGATATTTTTCTAATTTTTATTTACTTATTTTTATGTGTCTGGAGTTTTGTCTGTACATATGTCTGTACACCAGTCTTGTGCCTGTTGCCTGCAGAGGCCAGAAGACAGCTCAGATCCCTTGGCACTGGAGTGGCAGTTAAGAGCTGGAGTCCTGTTGAATGTGGTCTTCTGAAAGAGCAGCTGAGCCATCTCGCCAGGCCTTCGTGCAGGATCTTGCACTGTCAAACGTTGTCATTTAGAACCTACGGCTCCCTAAGTCGCGCAGGTCTTTTGAATCATTCACTGTCACCATGATCTGTCAGCATCTCTTTCTGAGTATGGGCAACTGTCTCTCTCACAATGGCATTTGTAAAGTTTTCCCAAATGCTTGGAAGCTTAAACTTTATCTTTGGCATTGAACACTGGCAGTTGTTTTCCTTGAAGAAAGACTTTGCCAGCTGCCCTAGTCAGAAGTTTGTGAAGTGTTCTTTCAAGGAAACAACACAAAAACACAACCAATTCAGGGTTGCGGCTAGCTCACTTTCACAAATGCTGGTTTTTGGGACCACCAACGTGCTCCCCAGTTCAGGATCGTGCACCTTCCATTTTGTCTCCCAGAGAGGAGGAGGAGGAGCAAGAAGGAAAAGAAACCTCACTTAAGAGTCAAGGTTTAGCGTTGGTGGTATAGTGGTGAGCATAGCTGCCTTCCAAGAGTCAAGGTTTAGCAGGGCGGTGGTGGGGCACGCCTTTAAGCCCAGCACTGCAGAGGCAGAAGCAGGCAGATCTCTGAGTTGGAGACCCAGCCTGGTCTACAAGAGCGAGTTCCGGGACAGCCTCCAGAGCCACAGAGAAACCCTGCCTGGAAAAACCAAAAAAAAAAAAAAAAAAAAAAAAAAGACTAGTTACTTCATTAAGGGCATTCCCAAAGAACACGTGCTCTCCCGACCACTAATGGGTGTGGTGAGGTGGAAAAAAAGCAGTGACCACTGGCCTCAATTGTGGAATCCTCCGGAGGTGTCAGTCACTATCAGCATTGTCTTGTATTGTTCTGAAAGTGATTCTGACCTCTGGGAGAGGACCCTGGGGAGTCTAGAGAGAGAGAGAGAGACATTACATTGTGGTCTTGGTGTCGAACCTTTCGGTCTTCAGGAATTGGGCTGTGTGTCAGTGAGCGTCGAAGCGCACCCGGCAAGAGTGTCCTTTCAGCATTGCTCTAAGGGTTTCCGGCACCAGCAGCAAGACGGTCCTCGGGAAGCCGAAGTCCTTTCCCTGCTGCTCTGCCTATCGTAGTTCTTAGCCGCTTCCCAGGCAAGGCTTGGTGCCATCCCCGATATCCGAGTTGGACGCAGTTTCGATTGTACTTTCGAGCGTTTATTGAATCGTTGTTTGCATCACGGTTTTTGTTTGGGGGAGGGAAGCAATTCTTTTAATTTATTAGGGGACTTCCCCAAATGGTTGTTTTCTGTGAATCCGCACGTTGCCCCAAGAGGGAAGTCGTTGTGTAAACACTTGTCTCTCAGTACTAAACTCAAAACTGAAAGCAAAGTTAAAGCAGTGTCCCTTGCGGATCCCTGACGTTTCCGATGGCAAGCCCTGCAGTGGCGGCCAGAAGCAGAGAAGGTAGTGTGGGACTGCCCGCTTCCTGCACAACCCCGCGGCTCCAGGACGCCGAGGTCCCAGCCGGAGCGCCAGGGTCCGCAGAGCTCACGTTTGCACACGGCGGGGCTGGAGGCAGCGGCGGCTGAGTGCGCTGCCCTTAAAAGGAGGCGGGCCGTACCACCGCGGCGCCCGCGGGGGGGTCCCGGCGAGCTCGGGCTCCTCGAGGGGAGCCGAGGGCCGTGCGCTTCGCCCTCGGAGTGCGAGCCGACTGGCAGCGGGGAGCCCTCGGCGGGCGGTGGAGACGCGACCGGTGGTCTTCAGTGCCCCGAGCGTGCCCCGGGGCGGTGGGCAGCGCCGGTCCCCGGGCTCGAGCGAGGTGCGGTTCGCCCGGCCGCCCCCTGTGCCCGGATGTCCGTCAGGCTCGGCGCGAGCCGAGGCTCCGGGGGGCGGAGGCGGCGCTGAGGACGCAGCGGCCGGGAGCTGAGCGTCCGCGCGGCTGGGGCGTCCGCTGGGTAGCGTCGCAGACGGCTGCGGTGGATGCGGAGCGCGGCGCGGGCGGAGGAGCCCGCGGGCCGAGGGTTCTGATGGACTCGGGACGCCGGGCTGTGTGAGCCGAGCCATGGCAGCCCACTCCAGGTGAGGCGGGCGGTCGGGCGCGGGGGCTTCCCGGACCCTCCGGTGAGCGGCCGCCGGGGCCGGAGCTGGGGTGGCGACGCGGGTGGGGGTGCCGGGGCGGGGACCGCAGGAAGCCACTGGGTCACTGCTATCTCATCCCCGAGTGTCAGGCAGAAAAACAGGGTCTGCACCGGGCGCAGAGGGGACCGCCCGAAAAGTTAAGGTTGAAGTTAAAGCTCCCGCTTCTGCCCAAAGAGCTGTTACTTTTCGGCAAGTGAAGTTGGTTTCACTCGTCTGCCGGAGCCTCGGTGTTTTCATTGACGTGCCCTGTGCAGTCTTCTTTGGCTCTCCTCGTTGCTCCATTGGGGTGTCTTCAAAAGAAAACTTGGAAGTACACTTAATGGAAAATAGAATTCGCCCCGGCGAGGGTGGGGGAGGATTTGCCTGGTGAGTAATGAAGACTTTCCTGCTAGAATGTACGATTCCACATAAAACGGCGCTGCCAGACCGAATCTGCTGAGTAGGCAGAGGCCGGAATGCGCCCGGTTGGTGAAGGGGAGCGTGGCTAATGACCCGCAGTTGCTGTCAGAGCTGCACTGTGCACCGTAAGGCGCCAGGACCTGGAGCCCTGCCTTCTCCGGGGTCTGCAGGTTTTGAAAGAAACCTTAAGAAACTTGACCGCGCGCCGGTGATTGATTGCCTAAGATTCAAGCTGTAAAGTGTCATTGCGTTTCAGTCGTGACAGCAATTGGTGATCAGGGAAACGGAGTGGGGGTGGGGGAGCACACCATTTAAAAACTTGCCAGAAGCACGGGCTCACAATTAGGCAGAGACTCTTCAGTATCTTATTGAGGCAGGATCTGGAAGCTGAGTCAACCAATTTTTTAGATCTGAAAACTCATATCATGGAGAGCAGTAGATGTGTTAGAGATCGAGTAGATAGGACTTGACTTTTTCTAAGAGATTAAAAACTTTCGAGGAAAGGAAGAACTTCCCCAAATAGGAAAGCTCCTGAGTGATGCCTACTTTAAAGACAAATTTGATCTTCTCAACTCAGCTTAATTTCTGCCTCCATTTTATTGTGTGTTCGAAGGAAGGCGTTCATGACTGAGCACAAGGGCAAAGAAACAGAATTTGCGTCTGTAAAAACTTTTGCTGGATGCTAAAAAGTGATGTTTGTTTGCATGGAATATAGCCCCAAACTCCTACATTCCCAGCTCTTGAGCTCTGGGCACAAACAGGAGCTGTAGATGTTTCATAGTGACATTGTGTTTACTAGAGGTGTCTAAGTCTTGCTCACATTTACCGTTTGTTTGAAATTAAGAACTGCTTATCTTCTTTGCTATTATGCCATTACTTTGTCAGTGATACATTTTGATAAATACTCTCCAACACAATCTGTTTCCTTTGTGTTCCAATGTAATTAATTTTGTGTTAAAAAAGATACCCTGAGTGCCATTATTTATCTCACTGCCTCAGGAGCCCATGGCACAAAACTTGGAGTGAAGGTACCCCTATAAAATAGTTAACACTGGCAGAGCATGGGCATTTGAACCCAGACTCTGTTGTTCCAATGCCTGAGCCCTTAGACTAACGTCAAAGGCAAATGAGATAATGTGAATAGGATAAAGGATAAGTAAATTGGATACTGAGTGTCTCAAGACACAGCACTAAGCTGCTGTAACTGGGTTGCCTCTTTGGTCACCTACATAGATAGTGCTTTATTATCTACACTTGGTAGTTGTTAAGGAAACTGAGACCTAGCCAGGGTGTTTGGTGCCCAAGGTCACACAGGTGGAACACGCCTGCCCCCAGGTGTACTCTGTAGCTGCTACAGTGTAGCCCCTCCTGGCTTGCCATTGCCTCTGTGGCTGCGCCTCACTGGAAGCACATAAAATTATTTCTGCTAATATTGTTCTGCTGCAAGATGCTAAGATAAATCTAAGTTGTCAGTGAGGTTCCTCAACGTATTAGCAAATTAAAATAGGAGGTCCAGACATTATTTCTGACCCCTACGTGGCCTGACTACCTGCTCTGAAACTAGAGACAAAACTACAAGGGGCCAGTTTGTGGTTTTCTTAGCCTGCTTGTTGAGAGCGTTTGCCATACTGTAAATATCTCTTCAGTTACACCTTGAATGTGGTCCAAGCTTGTGAAGACATCATGGTATAGCATAGATAATTGCTGAGATTCAAGGAGAGGATGTATGGAAAAGACTCAAGACCCCAGAGTCAGACCAAGTTTCTATGGGAAGTGCTAAGAGAAATGGAAGCATTCTTTGTGAAATCATGAGCTTAAGAGCACTGGCTGCACCGGGCGTTGGTGGCGCACGCCTTTAATCCCAGCACTCGGGAGGCAGAGGCAGGCGGATCTCTGAGTTCGAGGCCAGCCTGGTCTACAGATCGAGGTCCAGGACAGCCTCCAAAGCCACAGAGAAACCCTGTCTCGAAAAACCAAAAAATAAAATAAAATAAAATAAAAATAAAAATAAAAAAGAGCACTGGCTGCTCTTGCAGAGAACCCCAGCTCTGTTCTCAGCACCCACACAATAGCTCACAACCACCTGTAACTCCAGTTCCTGAAGATTCAGTGCCGCCTTGGATGCTAGGCAGTACACCCACATACAGGCAAAAACACTTACAATTAAAAATCTAAAATCCCATCAAACCTACCACCAGTAGTTTCACTGTGCATAGACTTAATTGTAGGTGGTAACTTGGAGCTCTTGCAGCAGTGAAAGTGGGTGCAGGAACCAGGGGTTCCTGACTGCTGAGTGAATGAGCTGTGCATTCCCTTCACCGCTGCCATGTGGCTCCTCAAGGCAGGGAGGGCACTTGCTGCTCTCCTTTGGTGGTCCTGTATCTGTTGTGAAGGATGGGTAATGATTTCTGGGCCCACGAGCAGCTTTAAAACCATTACATTCTCTTACCAAATCCTGAAAGTAGGTTATTATTTTTTGTTCCTTCCTTCCTTCTTCCCTCCCCCCCACCCTATCTCCCTCCCTGTATCTGGCAATCCTGGAACTCTATGGAGAACAGGCTGGCCTCAGACTCATGATCCGTCTTCCTCTCCTGGGTTCAAAGGCATGTGCCACCATGTTACCATGTTTGGTAGTAGATTTTTTTTTTTTTGAGACAGGGTTTCTCTGTGGCTTTGGATGCTGTCCTGGAACTCGCTTGGTAGTCCAGGCTGGTCTCGAACTTACAGAGATCCGCCTGCCTCTGCCTCCTGAGTGCTGGGATTAAAGGCGTGTGCCACCATTGGTAGTAGATTTTTTTTTTTGAGAAATGGAAGACATTTATTAACTACTACTTGGGGGAAAATGGTTTATTTAGGTTCAGAGTTGGGAGTTAGTCACAGCAGGTGCATATGGTATGTTCCAGTTCAGTGTGGGCTTTCTCTGGAACTTGTAAACATAACACACCCTGAACTCACTTCCTTGAGAGAACTGGTAGAAGCTTGATTTCTTCAATGTGAACCGGTTACAGAGTCTCTTCTATGTAGAGACTATTCTTTATGGAATTACAGAAATGATTTAGTAAACTCAACAGCTGAGGGACAGTTGATTGCTAGAGTGTAAAGGAGGTATGTGTTTGAGTTTCTGCCCCCCACCCCAATTCCTTCATTGAAACAGTCCATGGATTCTAGGATGGAAAACATATCTTCTACCATCAGGGATTAATCATTATAAAACTGACCTCGTGCTGTGCTCTGATAGGCGTTGTAATTCCAGCATTTGGGAGTTGCAACGATAGCTGCAAGTTCTAAACCAGCCAGGGCAATCTTTTGTGCTATGAGAGGCCTCCTGGCCCACACCTACAATGGGGAAGGGTATCTGGGTAGCATGGGGGAGTTGCAACTATTCTTTGAGAGAATTGCACCTGGTAGTTGAAGCCTTCCAAGCACTGTGAAAGGAGACTAGGGCTAGCATTTTTCCTTTGGAACTTTGTGGGTACCAATGAAGTCCCAAAAGTCAATAAAGATGTAAAGATGTTACATTATTCCCAAGCTTGATACAAAGCTGTTTTTCTTTTTCTTTTTTTTTCTTTTTTTGTTGGCTCTCTCTTGATTCTAGGGAGAGAAACTGTTCCAGTTGAGTACAGAACCAGTTTGGCCCCACCCTGTACCTCCACCGCCTACTGGTTACCTGGAAGAAAAACCAGAATGCAAAGTGATTAAACAGAATAATCACTTGGAAAGTGTAGTCAAGGAAGAGATTTGGAGGGGGGATGTGTGCCAGTCCTTGACCCCCCCTGACTGCCGCCCCCCCCCATTGTCCAAGGTACTTTTACACACGATGCCTGTGACAGAGCAGACACAGACAGGTCTTCAGGGGTTACTTTCTAGTTCATCGTTAGAGCCCAGCGAGCTTCCTGACTCACTGTCTAGTTCTTTCCAAGATGAAGACTGCAGGAGCCATGAGTCATTCTTTCTTAAAGTCATCTGGCTTATGGGGATATTGTTTGGCAAAATAAATGGAAATGATCTCCTAAGAGATCTAGGTGGTTCTATGGCTTAGCACGAGTTGTTCCACAGAGTTTGTGAGCGGGAGACTCTGTGAATGCTGTTAGAATCTCATGTATATTCAGGGAGGAAGCGGTCTCCATGGATGTGGGGCAAAACGGCATTTCTATCTTATTCCAGCTGATGTGTGACTGAAAAGCTGTTGGAAGGGAATAAATGGCCACAGCTCTTAAGTGTTATATGACTCAGCTGCCTTAACATATAATTCTAGCTTTCTCTGTTTTTCAGGCTTCTCCAATTCATTTGTTTCTCAGGACTCACAAATAAGTGCATTTCAATTTAGAATGTGAAATGTTTTGGAAATACAGTTTGTGCCTCTGGAAACTGGCATTTCCTGGTTCAGCCACATGACTGTCTAGAGCTGGGGTATATAGCTCCTTTGCAGGTGCAGTTATTTTATTGCTCTCGGTATAACTTAGAGCTTAAACCCTTACCTGTGTTTTTACTCCCTGAAGTGGGCGTCTAGCTTTGCCTTAGATTGTTGTCTTTCAGGTCAT